GTCGGCCAGGAAGTTCCTCAGGTTCACTTTCGAGCAGAAGGTTTACCAGTTTCGCGCTATGCCCTTCGGCCTCACTACGGCCCCCTTGGTTTTCACCAAGTTGTTGCAGGTAGTAGTGGGGCACCTCCACAGTCTCGGGGTAGATGCACACATCTACTTCGACGACTCCCTGTTGCTCCAAGTGGATCCAGTTATCCTGTCCCGGAGCACGAGGTCGGTTCTGGGCGTTCTGTGCCGCCTAGGGTTCATCCCTTCCAGGGAGAAGTCGGAGGTTCTCCCCTCTCAAGATTTTGTTTTCCTCGGTTATCGGTTCAGAACCGATCTGGGGTTTGTCCTTCCACCAGTGTCCAAGTTCGAGAAGGCCTCTCTGTTGGTCTCCGTTCTGGTCGGTGTGGAGCGAATTCAGGTCCGATGGTTCCTTCGGTTCCTCGGTTACCTGAATTCATTGGCGGATGTGGTTCCCTTGGGTCGGCTTCACATCCGTCCGCTCCAGCTGTTCCTTCTGTCAGTTTGGTCTCCGGCGTCTCGACAGTGGGATGTGTACATTCCTCTGCCGGAGTCAGTGAAGGAATCAGCTCGTTGGTGGACTCTCAAGAGCAATGTCTTGGCAGGAGTTCCTCTGGTTCGGGCATCTCCTGCTATGACCCTTTACACCGACGCGTCCATGACCGGTTGGGGTGCATACCTTTCCGGTCAGACGTCGGCGGGCGTGTGGTCGGGGGAACAGCTTTCAGAACACATCAATGTTCTGGAAACGCGTGCTGTTCTGTTGGCCATTCGGGGTCTTCGACCCTCCCTGCAGGGCAAGGCCATTTGTCTGGCGGCAGACAACTCCACTGTTNCCCTGCTTAACGTTCGGCATTTAGGGTGATGGCAACAACTGGTTCAACCGTTGTCAATAATAATGTGACATTGTGGAATGCTGTGTTGGGTGCCATCGGTATGGTATTCCAGTGAGATAGCACTATAAAGTCCCAGCAGGGGGCTTTTCCGGCCGCTCCTCCTCCACCCCAGGGTGGTATGGGTTTCCAGCATGGATATGTCCCTCCC